TACTTCCGTTTCACGTAGTGGACTTCGAATCTCTAAGGGACAGAGTAATTGGATCGGACGCTCTATGTGGTTCCCTTTGTGCAACAATATCGCTCCTCGGATGACTCCGCCCTTACTGATGAATCCACCACTTACTTCTTATCTCAGCCATAGTACTCGCAATCCTTTGTCGTTAGGGGACCGCTGCTTTTCTTTAACCGACACTTCTTGGTCTGAAAGTTGTACGCAAATCTGATGATCTATGCCGTTATGCGAATCGTGCTCGAATAAGTCTTACGAAGTGAAAGCTTACCCCAAACATGAAACATGTCCTAATATTCTTCCCGAATTCGGCATGTTTCCACTCTCAAGGCTTGATATGTTGCTCTCCCATTTGTGTACTGGGAATTTCCCACTCTCTAATATTTCTGTGACCTCTGTTTTGAATTTCTTAAGGTCTTGAATTTCCTCCCCACTCATCATCAAATTATCGACATATGTGTTTTCTATATGTTCTAAAGTCGCACCCAACATACTGAAGGGACTCGTTTCGACTCCGAACGGTACTCGTGCGAACCGAAACAACTCATCCTTCCCATTGATGTTGAAGATAAAGCGAAAAGCGTCCTGATCTTCCTCACTGAGACCAATTTGTAGGAATGCCTTCTCAATGTCTCCTATCAATAAATATCGTGACATCCGCGCTCGCACCAGTATGTCCCAAAGCAGGGGTTGTAGAAAGGGGGGGGGGAGGGCTGGGTACATGCATACATTCGTTAATACTGTTCGATGTTGGCTGTGGCTTAGCGCTGGCGTCAAGAACCATCCGAGTCTTTGTCGTAGTGGCGTTTTGTTTAATGACGGGCTTGTGCGGCATATAATATTATATCCCCGTTCCCCGGTAGGTGTTGTCGGAGGCCTTTCCTATAATGGTAGACAATTTTACTTGGTAGACAATGATCTTTTCGTAATCCTTACGTAGTGGTTTCAATATTGATTAACTGAAATATGAATCCTGTAATTATTCTAATAGATTTGTTGAGCAACTTCTTAAATCATCATTTTCCCCCCTCATTACGAAACCAACAAGAATAATTACTCAACATACTGCTACAATAAATGACAACATCGTTACAAATAATGTTGAAATAAATTGAAAACAGTGTTAATGGAATCATATTCAGTGATATCTCAGACCATCTACCAATAATACACACATATCTGATTGACTGATTCAAATAATATCAATGAAAACACTTCGTGGAAATCTCCAATAACTAGCACAATAACTATATAGCACAATCATTGCACTGTACTGAATAATTTTGCTTTGTTTTGTTATGTTTTGGTATTTTCTTCTCTCTTTATATTTTCCTAATTACAATGATAATCAACTTTCTAAAATTTAGTTGACTGAAAATAGAACTTTATTTTTAATATTTGTATAACTACTTACTAGGTCTAGGGAGCTTAAATAAAAACCTCTAAAGATTACCAGCAGACCTCTAGCCATATTAAAAAATTCATATTGTAAATATATATCTAAGTATAATACATGTTATGATATATATGGGCAATTAAAAAAATGTTGTGAAGTAATTACGAAAAAGGTCCATTATTGTGTAACATTCATTGAAACTTATCCCCGAGCGGGCGCGGAACGTCTACGAGGGTAGCTACTAATTCGGCTCGAAGACTAGGAATTATTCCCAGAACCCGGAAGAACATGGCTGAGTCCAAAGTTGTCCAAATTCTATGTCATTGACGGTTGACGTTGTGTGGTTTAGTAAGTTATGCGCATGCGCGAGAAACCACTGGTAATCAACAACGTTCTGATTAGCTAAGACAGAAAGTTTGTATTTCAAAGAGAAAGTCAGCAATTTAACCGTCACTTTGTAAACTCTTTTGTAAAAGCGTTTCTGAATAAATCGTTTCTGAATAAATAAAGAAAGCATTTAAAAATAAAACGTTGGGTGGACTTTCTTGGGCAGCGTTCCAGTGAAGTCACAATAGAAAACTAATTTAAGCATCTACTTATGTATAATGGTTGTCGTTTTGCCTCACACCTCCGATTTCGCTTCTTCACCTTAAATTCAGAAATGCAATGGCGTACACTTTAGGCGGGTCATATCTACGTCCACCAACAACCCACTGACGCACAGTTATCAGTGCACGAATTGCGTGAAATTGTCGGCACTGAGGGCCAGCTATTTTCAAATTGTGTACTTCATTATGCTACAAGTCTACGAGATACCAAACAATATTGGTTCAGACAGCGAACACGTTTGATATCCATAGTTGACACTCTTGGTCTACCAACTATCTTCTTCACACACAGTGCAGCAATCTCCACTGGCCTGAATTAACACAGCTTACCAATCCAGATGGTCCAGATTCAAGGTCAAATGGCAACACAGCCTTAATAGAGAATACCGCCGTTTCTGATTGGTTCTTTTATAACAGAATTGACGAATTTATGCTACTAAGTTGGCATCCTGGGAGCTACAGATTATTATTGGTTGAGATTTGAGTGGCAACACCGTGGCAGCCCCTATGTCCACGGACTTACATGGCTTCCAAACACCGCAAATGTTGACCAGTTATCCTGCCCTAAAACTTCAAACACATGCAGTTAAACAAGAGATCATTCAGATTCAGACACTCTTATTTCCACAATTAATCCTGGCGTCCACATGATCATTTCTGGTACAGCTGGAACTGGGTACTCGCATATTCATATATTCATGTTAACAGACCAGTAAGGACAATAGATTTGAAAAGAAATCAATCTTACACAACATGAATATATTAATATTATCCCCCAATTATCGTCAATTGTTCGCCGCTGAACATGTTCTTGGTCGTTGTTCTGTGATCCTTTTCGGAGTTTTCGGTCAATTCCCTCCTCTCATGGATCTTCCATTCTACACCACAGTATCTTGTTCAGTGTGGTCCAACCAAGGTAGATCAACATACCTACACTTTGACAAGGCTGTTTTTCAAATTAAGTCTTACGCCAAGCAGGACAAGATTCTCAACAAATTCAATTCCGAAACATTCTTCTACGTCTTAGGAAGGCTTAATGAAACGGACAGCTACCGAGATACGAGATCTCTCTCCATTCGCTAATGCACTTTATCTTTACCCAACAGCCGAAGCTGTAACACAGCACAACGTTGCCAAATTGGGCTATTCCATTTAATATGCGTACCCCCCCCCTATCGAGGACACTGGAAATCCTCAGGGATGTGGACTGTGTTCAGCCTGGAAATCCTCAGGTGTGGGTAGTTTCCAGTCTGGAAATCCTCAGGTGTGGGTAGTTTTCAGCCTGGAATTCCTCAGGGTAAGCATATTATCAGGCTGGAATTCCTCAGGGTAAGCATATTATCAGGCTGGAATTCCTCAGGGTAAGCATATTGATCAACCTGGAATTCCTCGGTGTAGGCATATCATCAGGCTGGAATTCCTCAGGGTAGGCATATTATCAAGCTGGAATTCCTCAGGGGCAGAAGTGCTGGAGACCATGTCCTCGATAGGGGGGGGGGGTACAAATTTTAAATGGAATAGCCCATTACATGATTATGGTCAACCAATTGCCACTATCAAAGCAATACATACGGGACCTAATGCATCTGGAGCATCACCATTCACCAGATGATGCAAGTGGGCTAAAACCAGTAATTGATCTTGCTAAATCTGCCCGAGTTATGCTCATCAGCAGTCTATGGGTCGAAGTAGGCTTAGTTAACGGAGCAATGGGAAGCATTGATGCGATTTGCTACTGTAATGGTGGACCATCTGGGACCGGTTGCATCAAAGCCGGATAGCGCTATCCACCGGATAGTGATTTTTTCAACCGTTCTAAAAATGCTCGAAAAGCGATAAAATTTCAGCTTGGAAGTTGGAAGCAACAATTATTAAAGAGAATCTTCGATTTAGGAATACTAAGATTTGATCAAAGTGGTAGCAAATAACGGGCGATCTTAAAGCGATTGGAAAAAACTACTATCCGATGGATAGCGCTATTCGGCTTTCATACAACCGGCCCCAGATTTTCCTCTAGCTGTAATGGTAAAATTCGAAAATTATTCCGGCCCCACCTTCCATGATTACGGTACCGTTCCCGTCGTACCAATCCGTCGAACATGGTTTAAGTCTGGCTGCCAATGTTCTCGCCTTTAACTGCCTTTACGATTAGCATGGGTAGAAACCATCCACAAATCACAAGGCAATCACATTGGAAAAAGGGAGTTTGCTGCAGGATTAACCTTTGTAGCTAGCTTGCTTAAGAGTGAGAAACATAACAGACTTACTGTTCACACCACCTTTTCCCACTACAGCGTCTCACGACCATCGGGCGCATTCGACAACTACATCAAAGGCTACAGGAAGACCAACGGTTGATTTCCATGGAAGAACGAGACGAAAACAGTTAATATGTAAGTTACTAATATGCACAAACAGTTCTATTAAACAAACGAAAAAGAACGAACACGCGAATTACCTCCCTGAATTTAAAACTGTGAGAATAGGTCTCAATAAGGAACAAGAAATGAAATCGCATGTTTTTCCTCGCTCTAATTGTTCTTGTTCAGGCTCGCCCCATGATGCTTAGCATGTCCATAGTTATATATAGCTCAGTGGCACTCGTTTTTGAATGCGTGTTGAATGTCGTGCGTACTTCAGTCCAGGGTTCTCACTTTTGGGGAAATTTCCCCAAAACGGGGAAATTTCCCAAAACGGGGAAATTGGTAGATTTTTGGGGAGCGATCTGGGGAATCACTATTTTCGGGGAAGTGTTGCTGAAACTCGTGGTTAGTTGTTTTTGCCTGGTTTTACGTTAGATATGATTATTTTGGTCTAATTGGTCACATGTGGCCAATTAAAGTTGTAAATTACGCAATAGCTATACTTTGTGTTACTACGTTATTTATGTCTAAGGAATTCTTCGGAAATCTGGAGAAACTTTAAGACATTTTTGAGGAATTCATCAATTATGTTGTGAGATCCCTGTACTTCAAATTGGTAAAATAACACATGTGTCTTTGGTTACATCTTGTTACACCGCGTTCTTTCTTTCTGCTTTCGCAGTTGCAGAATAACAGGCTTTCATCAGCAAGTGTTTTTGAGGGAACAGTTTTTATTTAAGGTAAATTTAAGATTTCACGCAAGGCACTGATACTTTTGAAGTCTTTCATGCATCGTCTGCAAACTGCCTGGAATAGCAACTTTTCTGATGCATGCAATTCCTAATCATAGCACCTTTAATCCTAAATCTGTTGATAGATTCTGGCAAACATTAATTGCGCAAGGGTGAAGGGCAGATTCTTTTGATAGCGTCTTCGAGGCCTCGTCAAAGCTGTCGCTTCTCAAGTAAAATTAATATTTTATGAATAAACTTTTTGCTTCAATACAGGTGGACATTTTGATAATTGTGCATTTCGCTAAACAAGATATTTAGAGAATGCTTGGGGTGTGATATTGATATAAAAACTTGTGAAAAGTCAAAGATTCACCATAATACAGGTGAGACATTTAGCGTTGTAGTTTCTCCTAGTTATAATTTTAAAGTTACTTTGATGTCCCTGAATCGTTGTTCCCGTGACGCTGTCTTATGATTAGGCGAAGTATTTATCATTTTGGCGTGCACAAATTGACGCTATTCTGCATGTTTGGATAAAATCACAGACAATCATATGAATGTCTACGCTAAAATTACATTTATGCCTTTCTCTGTGGTGTGGACGTTTTGTTCCTATACATATTATGAATACATATTACTATCGGAATTCAATCTTGCCTGAAATAAACTAAAATTCGATCACCAGCAAAAAGTATAAATAAGAACTCTACATGGGATTTGCAAATGTTTACATTCATCCCACATTACAAAGCGGATGTCTGGCATTGTTGTTAGGCTTTTTTTTATAACTTTGTTGCATAGTATTAGAGACTTAACTTTTTAAGTTAGGTTTTGTGAAGATTCTACCAAGATATACAGTAGAATGATGAGCAACTACATGTCTCTCTTGAGGTGCATGTTTTAATTGAAAAGCCTGAATGCTGTATATGTGTGTGATAAGGTGCTGTGTCTGACATCCCCCCAAAATAATTTTTCTAGGGGGTGCAGAATCTTTTCAACAAGGTGGTTAACAAACATGTATAAACATGATTACATGGATAAAACCCTAATGAATTAAGCATTTTTGGGGGAAATGGGACTGTCATATTAATGAGATAACATTCACTAAGTGCCACCATAGGTGGTGCTAAGCAAGAGCATTTTTTAAAATTTGAAAGCCCTGAAACTTCAAAGAAGTGTGTCTTCTATTACTTTTCTTTTGGTGTATGCTGCTCTTTACTAATCTTTGGATATTTGATTATCACATTAAACTGTTCAGAAATATAGTTTGGTGAAACTAATATTGTTCTAATTTTTGATTTTCCATTCAATTTAATACTTTTGACATATGCAAATAAGTGAATAGTTATGGATGCTCCTGTGTATATGCACCTTTATTTTACCCTCTGTAAATGATCCACTTGATTAAATCTATCAAGAAACATACTTAATTTTTGGAATTCGGATCTGGAATCCTTGGTTTTTGTGGCATTTACAAATTTTGAATTATGGTCTTCCCTAACTTCAATGACTCATTGGATGTAACATTTTGAAATTATTCCTTACAACTTGGACATTTATTTTAGTTTTGGTGGAATTGTTCAATAATTTTGGTTTTGATTTTTTAAATTTGCATTTTGTCAAATTTATCTATACATTACTCTACATGTGAATTAAACTATATACCAACATCTAAGATAAAGTAAAACCTAGGATGTGGTAATCAGGTCAGGATTGGGGGGTGCCATGTGATTTTCATGAACTTTTCTAATAAAAATGTCATTTCCATCTGTGTACAAGGGCTATGTAATAATCTTCAACACCCTTTTATACAACAATACCTGATTTTATTTTATATATTATTATATATTATTATTATATTGATCCTAATTGATCAATGTAAATAATTACGGTCCAGTTTAGTGACATACTGTCACTTGTAAGTGTCACCGAAATGGCATTATAGATATTGGAAGTTGAGTAATATTTGGCAAGGCAGCATAAATTTTAACTTCAATTTTATATTCTTCAATATTTACTTAATAATGCTTCAGTTCCGGTGGAATTTTGTTTTAAGCTAATCAGTCTATTTACATGTTTACATTTTTAGGCAAAGCCAATCAGAATGTTTAAATATTTATTACTTCATGTAAAATGGTAAATAATTTGCTTTTTTACTGAAAGTAATCAAAATTTATACATTAGCTCTGATTTGGTTACTAAAATGTAAATAAACATGCTGATTCATCTAAATGAAACTCTCCATTATAGAATACAGTTGATCAAGCGTCAGAATTGTGTTCATTCACTTTATAGCATTTTCAATCTTGATTGTTCAATTTTCCGAAATAACTCATTCAAAAAATACTAAAAAGCATGCACATTGAAGTCAATTAGAGAAAGTTAGGAAGATGATTTCTGAAGCTTATTTGAGAGTAAAGGTCCAAGAAATATTACCTCTATATGGGTGAATGATAATTCAGTTCTTGCGAAGTATTTTGATCAATCAATTTATCTGCACAGACAAATAACACTATCCTGCTCGACTTCTTTAGATTTGTAATGACACTGGTCGCAAATTTACTATGCACATTCACATGGCAAGGCCACAAACATGGGGGCTAAGCCCCCTCTAACTTTTAAAGTCACAGAAAAAGTGCCCCTTTGCGTTGAGGTTTTCGGAAAATTTTAATGACATAGTTTAACAGTAGGCAATAATACATGTCAAACTTAAATGCCCTTTTCAGCCAGCCGGAGTGCCCTAAAAGTTAATACCCCCCCCTCCCCCAACCTAAATCATGGACAATCCAGAATACAAAAGAAGTCTTCTGGATTGTCTATGCTTAAATGTGGTTCCTCTGCCCCGTGCAAGTGCAGTATAGGTTCAACTGCGTCTTGTGCTCACTTTTGTTTTTATTATGAACATCACAACTTCCTGATACGTTGCCGTCACTGCTCATGTACCAGTCGTTGCTTTACTTCAATACAAAAGTCTGAAAATATCAATTTGCCAGTCTACGTTATAGGTTGTTGATAAAGAAATGGAAATGTCTGCTTATCAGTCCATCGTAGATTATTACGCTGGTAAATCTCTGTTCATCACTGGAGGAACTGGTTTCCTAGGCAAAGTTCTGGTGGAAAAGTTACTTCGCAGCTGTCCTGATATAAAGAAGATATATTTGTTAGTCCGACCGAAAGGCGATGTCAGCAGCAAGGAGAGAGTAGAGAAAATTCTTGATTCTGAGGTTGGTGCATGTGTCATATATGGCTTCTGATTACCCATTCTGTATAACTATGAAAAATTGTATGATTATTAGGTGCATATTGTGAAAATATTTTCGTTTGTAAACAACCCACATACACAATGGCGCGGAATGTGCATACTATAATTTTAGACACATTAACCACATTCGAACTTTACATTTTAGGCTAACTCATGAAGTTATTCAGATATAAAAAAAACTGTTGCTACATGCACGTTGTTCTAGGATTTTCAATTTCACTTTTTTTTTTATGTTTTTGTTTCCCATGCAGTCTCCCGTTTTCGTTCTTTTTCGTGCGGATTTCACGCATGCGCGTAATATCACTTCTGTAGTTTTGTGAAAGAAGCAACTGAAATTCAACGCTCGTAACTTACGTTTGTTGCCTATGATGTGTTAAGTATTTTATAGTCTAGCCACGATGTGATTACTTTTTTTTAATTTTCACCACAAGAAACTCGGAATAGCTCATTTCCTCTCTATTGGCATGCACATGTTTAAAACTATCTTTAAATTAATAATCTTTTAAAATCTTTATCTCTAGCTTTTTTCAAGAGTCCCCGAAGTCAACCCCGGATACAAAGAAGTCGTCCATGTCGTTGATGGGGACATGTCAAAGCCTTTTCTCGGATTATCCAAATATGACCAGAACTTGCTTCATGAAACTGTTGAGATTGTCTTTCATTCCGCTGCAACTGTGAGGTTTGACGAAGAACTAAGGTATGAACCGCGTTTCAAAATGGTTTATTTATATTCTAACTACCCACGGATTTCTCGTCCCAATTTTTAGCCCAAACAAATATTTTGAGAAGTATTTTTTGATATGCGCTTAACTGTTTTTATTATATGGACATGGATGTTTTACCGAAACATAAAAACATTAAAAAATATAATTTATCCTTTTTTATTCTTAAGGCTTGCTTTAACGTTGAACGTTGTTGGTTTAGAAAATGTTTTGGAACTTTGCCGAAATGTGAAGAAACTAGAGGTTAGTATACATTATACACTTAATGTATGCTCCCGAGGGAAATAGTGAATTGTTTTTCCAAGAGTCGTCGAGGGAAATTTGAGACTCGAGGGAAAACAAAACTCACTATTCTCCGAGGCCTTGTTCAAAAGTCATGCCAGCTTTTCAACAAGGAAAAATGCTCGTGTGTACGGCTGTCAAGGAAAACCTGACAAGGAATTGCGCAGTAGGAAGCTGCGCAACAATATCGTCGAGCCAATGGGGCGGTTTTTGAAAGTTTTACATCTTTGTTTGTTTTGAGACTCCGCCGTATACTCATGCATTTTATCATATTGTCGTAAAATATACTCAACATATACAGTATATTATCGTAAACTTGTCAAGAAAAATTTCTACTATAATTTGCATGCATAAGTAGATACTGCGAAATACCATTTCAATGCATGCCAGTTCAACTAATTATACTTCTGGGATTTGAAAATAAGTTTTATTTTCCTTCTGTTATTCGAATAGCCCAAACCGATTTAGTGGTTTACCGGACTTAAATAATTCAAATCTGAATTTTGCACCCAACATGCAAGCATGCAGCCCTATTTTTATCATTTGTTAAATTTTTTGGACTGTACAAGGCCACAATTGAACCCACTCTCAATAATTAGTATATTCATGTAAACGAAGCGTAGTACATTTTCCCGAATTGGTTGTTAAAATTCTTACGTGACATCAGTGACATTTTATGAACAAATTATTTAGCAATGATATGATAACTTTAGTCACAAGTTTTCCATCACGATTGAGCACGACTTACACGAGCATGTGCATAGACAAGATAACCGCTCCTATGAGATCACGGGGTATTCTCCATGAATAATGACACAAACAGGAGGTGTAACATTTTAATCATAAATGGGTTCTCCATCTATGAATAATCTGACGTATTCTTGGTTCATTTGTAGGCTTTCATACATGTGTCTACGGCATATTCAAATTGCAACGAAGATGTTATTGAAGAAAAATTCTATCCACCATCTGTCGATGTTAAGAACGTCTTGGAGATAGCAAAGTAAGTGTTTAGATGATTTTTGATCTAATTAACCACTGGGGTTTTTATCCATGCACTTTGTCCAGTGCTTGTCCTAGTAGTAAACCTGATTTACTTGCTGAACTTACCTGCCACTGTGAAGAACTTGCTTTTTCATTAAGTCGTGATTAAAATACCCAAAATTGTTGAAGCTAAATTTTACCTCAAGACAGTTTGGAAGTTCGGATCGCCCACCGTTGCGCCTTTCGAGATCTCCGAGAGTTGCTTTTTTATGGACATGATATAGTTAACAGTCTACGCTTTTTTTTTCGCAGTCTAAATTGGTCACGCAAGGCTTTACTTAAGTGAACGTACTCACAGGCACAGTTGATTTGATTTTTTCGCGCCAGAGGTGCCAGTAATGTGGGGAACACTTCGACTAAACCAACACTCTCACCAAACATCACACGTCTCACATCACACAATTGTTAGATGTCTTGTTTACTCCCCAAAGTCCCAAGTAATATTACATTAATATACTCAGATTAGGCCCAACGAGGCTAGGCGAGGCTTAGTGAATACTATGACTATAGTAACCTAACTAGTTATGCCCGCTGCGGATCGGTAGGGATGGAGACGGCAGCACGGCGAAGCGAACGAGCTCGGCGAAGCGAACGAGGTTGGCGATGCGTAGTCTTTACTGTCATTTTCAATCATGCGTATACGTCCATCAGATATGGAACCTAAACGGTACCCTCTCCATCCCGTGATCACACTGTCACACGGAATCACAGAAGTGAAAGCCGTGGAAGGAAAAACATGAACACACACGATGCACACATAGTAAATAATTAGATACATACCGTAGGAGTCTTTGCAAACCAACTGAACCTAGAGAAGCTAAACTAAAAACAATAAAGGGAAACCATCCCCAGGCGGGTGGAATGTCAGGGGAGGAAGGCAGGGCGAACGAAAGGATAATAAGCAGATAAACAACAAGGCAATCCATATAAATACTAAGGCCCGGGGAAAATACCCCCGTGCCAAACACCCGGCTAGGAACCCACGCGAGGGCTAACTCTTCGATATTAACTTCTTTTATTATACTAATAAATACATATAACCCCCTCAAAATTGTTCAATTAAAATTCTCCCTAACTCACGTGACGTGTCATAATAACCTAATTTACATAATTTCCGACAAACCTGACGTGGCTAAATTGCAAGGAAAATGTAAACAGTCTGTTCAAAAACGATCACTACTTCCAAAAGGTTTGCAGGCAACAAAACAAAAAATTATATATTTTGTCTTATGTACTCATACAGCACACAAAGAGGTTAGAGGTCGAGAAGACAAACTTGAATTTTTTGATATGTTATGGGTGAAGAATTTTGAAATGCCAATATTAACGACTATGCATTCACGAGCATTATGTGGAATTTTCAAATTGAATTTTATCTTCAACTTTATTTTGTTAATTTTCAAATCGAACTTTATCTTCAAACTTTAGCTTGGAAGCTACGATTCCTTTATTCGGAAACAAGTGTATTATGCACAAAATAAAAAAATGCCACAATCAGTTAGAAATGTTTAAAATTGAAGAGAACCAAGTGTATCAATTGCGTAGTAATAATATAAACTTCTCTCTGGGATAATCAACAAGAAATTTTATGAAAAAGAGTATTAGTTACTCGGCTGCATCTTTATGGAACAGTTTACCAATTGTATAGCTAAGAAACAGAACAGCCTTAGGAATTTATTCTTGACCGCAACTGATGTTTCCTTGTATTTAAATTTAGAAAAAGTATAAAAAACTGTGTAATTTAGTATAGTAATTGTAATTTAGTATGTAATTTTGATAGAGTGATATAGTGTGATAATTAAATAATATTTGTAGTATAATTGTATATAAGTGGTGTAGTTCGCAAACGTCTCTTTAAAAAACAGAAGCCTGAGTGCTCTGAAGGATTACCGTTTTCAAATATTTTTAAATAATAATAATAATAATAGACACAAACAAAACAAACAAAATACCATTTGAGGAATGTGCGATCTTGTTCTGTTAAAATTGATTATTTTTATTAATTCTTAGCTGGATGAATGATCAAATGTTAAATGAGGTGACTCCAGCACTTCTTGAAAAACGCCCAAACACATACACCTTCACAAAATCACTGGCAGAGTCGCTGTTGTTCAAACATGGACATGGTCTACCCATTGCTGTCTTTCGTCCATCAATTGTCGGAGCTTCTCTGAAAGAACCAATGCCTGTAAGTTAATTACCTTTTATGCGTTATATACATGCGCCATGCATTACATTTTGAAATCGCTACTCTCCTGGTGATCTGAAAGAATCAAGGGATTGGCACTAGTTATCAATGAACATTTGCGAACATATTACAGGCTAATATAATAACAGGCTTATAATATGAAAGCTTTTAATATAAGCGCGAATTCCAAATTGTAAGACGAAATGAACGTAAACATATCATGCGGAACTTCTGAACTTTTTAAAGTACGATGTGCTTCTGAATGTCGAAAAACATTTAGGTTGGCAAGGCATCTAAATGAGTATGAACTGTATTGTTTATGTCCAGGAACTTTATATTGAAGACTGGCACGTGCGCAGCGCGCCGGCGTTAACACCAGAACAGGCGTCATGTTATTATTCATTTCCACCTACTTCACCCACCAGAACAGACATCTTGTTTATTATTCATTTCCACCTACTTCACCCATTCAGTTCCCCCGTTTATATGTATTTGCAACACTTGGCAAGATGGCATCGTAAACCCAAAAAAGCGTATGCAGTATTTGTTTAATATCCTGATGAAGTATCATATCTAATGCACAAGTTGATGTCTGTAGTAAAAATGAAAAACTGATGTGAGTGGTATATAATGTATCCTAATTTTTGCAGGGTTGGGTTGATAATTTCAATGGACCAAGTGGTTTATTTGTAGCCGTGAGTAATCAGCAGTTCCGTGCATTCATAGCCTTATAATATACGTATAATTGAATAAGATAATCAGGTAAAAACAACGTCGACATTTGATTTTCAGGTCGGTAAAGGTGTTTTACGTTCAATGATCGGTGACGTTAATGCCGTGGCTGATGTCATTCCAGTTGATGTTGCGGTCAACATGTTGGCGTGTGTGGGATGGTACGCTGGAACGAAACGGTGGGTTTTACGGTCGAAACGCAACGATTCACGTTACATTATACTTCTTTTCATAAGGGCTGAGGAAGATCCTTAAGTTAGGGGCTAATATTCATTATATAAATATTCAGAGAATAGAGAACAATCAATTTGAAAAGAAACTAATAATGCTGAACATGAATATATTAATATTAGTCATCCCACTTAACGACCTTTGGCGGCCCCTGTCTCACTGAAGGTAAAGTTTGTTACACGGCGAAAGTTTTCATGCAACTTGCATAGCAATTCTATTTTGAAGAAATGTAAATCAGTGAAGAGTCTTCAAAGTGTAAGTGTAAGTGCAAGAAACAAGAAACGTCCATGGAGTGAATGAATACAAAAGTTGTGTAATTCTCATCTCTCAAAAGTAGAATGGTATTGCAAGTTGCAGGAAAAATTGCACTTAGTGAAAGGGCCTTAACAAGGCCTTTAACTTATATAATTTCGGCAATTAATTACAATTATGATATATTTTGAAATCTGAAATGCAGAAACTTTTAAAAGTTTTAAAGTGACTATACCATGGTTTTAAAAAACTTTGCAATGCATTTTGTCATTGAAAAATTTTGTCTCGATGGATTTATTAGCCTTTAAAGTTACCGGACATGACGTCAAAAAAGGAAATTAAAAATCAGTTTCCTTTGTTTTTAAGTTTCACAAAATTCCCGATTTGACGTCATGTCCGGTAACTTTAAAGGCCAATAAATCCATCAAGATAAAATTTTTCAATAACAAAATGTATTGCAAAGTTTTTTAAAATACCTTAAAATACCTAAAATCTGCAACCATAGTATAGGCACTTTAATAAACTATTCAATGCATGGTATGTAATTATTAATGGGGTTTGTTTTATCAACTTTCTTTTTGCAGACCCCAAAGTATCCCAATATTTCATTGCACGACTGGTTCTACCAATCCAGTTACATGGGGAGAAATGAGTAAGCATAACTATATTCATATGTTATATGTGTTTGAAGATTTCCTACGGGATTTAGGGGATGTGAAAAAATACTTTAAGTAGTTACGTCTGTGGGCGTGGACGCCTCGCTCCCATGCATCGTGAGCCAAATACCCCCTGCTTTTTCCCACGGAGGGCGGGGCTGTTCAGTGAATGACGAAATCATTAAAATGGTGGTTTGTATTACTAGAGAGTATTGTTACGCCATACCTTTGGGAATATCCTTTTGAGAAAGCATTCAGAAGACCAAATTTTTCATTTGAAGCCAAAGAGTAAGTAACTGTTATGTTTTGTATTCTACTCGTTTTATAACTTAAAACCCTTTACAACATCAATGTTTACTCTTTCCCTCGCTGCCCTGTCTATTACTGCCTCGCACGAGGCTCACCGGAAGTGTCATAACACTACATCACCCTCTTTTTCCAACAACAACTAAATGTCAAATGTTAAAACTATCTACGCAAATATCCAATCGTTTACGCTTATTGTTTGGGTGTTTATTTTAAATCTCAACCCCGAGTTTACTGGGTGCCCATAAAAATTTGTAGATCTTCTAGGCTCTTGTTGTACTTGCTGATGTTGTTCCTGTACTTTGTCTCCGTCACTTTCTTGTTCCATGTTAACGACATCTTCATCACTCTCTTCCTCCCTCCCTTCCTCTACTTTTGACTTTTTCATGGCAATAATTGTATACGGCGTAGGCCGAAAATTGGTTGAAAATTTGTTCGTTTTCTTTTGCCGCACAAGAGCACGATCTCCAAGTCGTAGTTTACTTGGTCGCGCACGCCTTCGAGAATCCGCATACGTTTTCCTCTTTCCTTTTGTTCTTTGTCGTTGTGCTTGGCTTCTCTATGCCGATTGATAACCTTGCTGTTCTGGGGAAGTGTCGGCAATTTTCCACGAATTTCTCGGTTATACAACAACTGAGCGGGTGATACCTTTGTGGTCGAATGCGGTGTAGAACCATACGCCAACAAGAACTTGGGGAATTCTTGTTTCCAACGTCGTCCTTCAAGGTTTGCCGTTCGAATAGCCTTGCCGAATGGCTTCATAAAAGCTTCAACTTCAGCATTACCTTGGCCAGGGAGGCCAGAGAGGGGTGGATGTAGTATGCTGAATTCCCATTTTGGTGAATTCCCATGTATTTGTTGAATTCGTGTCCTTGGAAAGGGGGCCCATTGTCTGAGACAACCTGCGAAGGAACGCCGTGCCGGGAAAAAAATGCATCGAGATTTGGGATTACACTTTTAGCTGAGATCGAAGACAACACTTCTACTTCCGGAAATCGAGAGTAGCAATCGAGAACCACGAACTCTTTTGTCCATTTCTAGAAACCAAACGTGTTCTCGTAGTAGCGCCTTCGGCCGGGCCTGCCCTTGAAGGCCTGTCCTTCATGCATGGGCCAGCTGGATGACATATTGTATTGGTATTGATGGTAACCACATCATTTGTGTAGTCAATAGCTAGTTCATCTTTTACGGGGTTGAACTGTTTCAGTTCACTGTCAAGCTCAGGTTGCAGAAAAGGTCGAAGAACCATGCCTGTGAAGGCGATGTATACACTGATCTAAGGCTTTGTTATGTGCTTCGTAAGATGATCCAAACACTAAAATGTAATTAACAATGTTGCGGACGCCTGGAATGTCAGGCAAAAATTGTTGCAAAGCATGTTGAAAGATTTCCGCCGTCGAATTTGTTCCATAGTTTAAACGCTTAAAGCGATACAATCCTGCATGTGTGATGAATATTGTGATTTGACGGCTTGCAGGGGCTAACTCAAGTTGTTGATATGCCTGGGTAAGGTCTAATTTTGTGAAAACTTTGTCACTGTTTAATTCATGTGAAATGTCATGCACTGTTGGTATAGGGTGGCGAATTCGTTTAATTGCCGTGTTTGCCGCTCTCATGTCAATACATAAACGAATATTATCATTTTTTTGCACAATAACAATTGGAGATATCCATTCGGTTTCTGTGTCCGGTACACGTTCAATGACGTCTTCCTCTTGTAACCGGCTTAATTATGCATCAACTTTGGCTCTCAGGTGGAATGGAATACGACGCTGACGTTGCGTAACTGGTTTAACATCTTTGTCAACAAGCAGTTCAACTGTTTTGTGTCGTAATTTTCCGAAGCCACAAAATGCATTTGGATGTTTTTGTACGACCTGTCTTACTGCCTTATCTTTGATCGATGCAAACGTCGGTGGTGCTTGCGAGAGTTGCGTGGGTTGTACTACATTCAAATGCAAACTGATTAGTCCAAGCTCTTCTGCGGTTGACCCACTCAAGAGACAACCACCGTTTTGTTGCGTAACATAAATTGTTGCCACCGTAATCTTGCGCCATGATTCCACAATGGTAGTAAATTTCCCATTCATTTTAACAGGGACCTTCGAATTAAATACGTAAGCTTTAATTTTTGTTTTGTATAATGTATAGTGTCCCAATTTCTCAAAAGTGTTTCGATCTATTATGTTTATGCTGGATTCAGTATCAACTGTTAACTTTACGTTGCGATTATTAATCTTCAGCTTTGTGTAATTTTGTCTTCGTATTGTTGACTGCATAACAAGGAGTCACTTAATTCACTGTCATTGTCTGAGGTATTAGGTGGCCAAATAGGTTTGTTTTCATGACGTCCTTGCCCTCGTCCAAGATCTTGCCGCTGACCTCGCGCCGCCGTGGGTGTAGAACGACACATTGTTGGAAAATGGTTTGGTTTTGAACATTTTTGGCACTCTTTGCCCTTTGCTGGACATATTCCCGTGTTGTGTGGCAACTATTTGCGCTTAATATAGATGACTATAATACTTCAAAGTTAGAATGAATTGTTCATATTTCCTGTAGCTCTCGATCTATAACTATTGTTAACTGTACCAAATCAGAAGCTATTCCAATCAAATTTGGTGTTCCCCAGGGGTCATTGCTTGGTCTGACTCTATTTTCCCTGATATGTGACTAAGAATGACGGAATTATTCAGTATGTTTGCGGACGATACCACAATGTATGCAATTGGTCTCTCTGTAGATAGTGTTACGATCTCACTAAAATAATAACATGCTGGGAAGGCTTTGTGATTGGTGTTGTTGTAATTCTCCCACGCCTCATTCGGGAAAATCGGAAGTTAAGAAGTCGTGACTGCCACATAAAATATGTATTTTCCACTAAATGTTTTGGCGTCGAGATAGACAACCAATTAAAATGGGTCGTCCACCTAACTGAACTTACGAAATCTTATTCACAAAAACTTACTTCGATATCTAACGCCTGTATTCTAAAAGCTCACTCACACTCAAACTCATTGAGTGGGAGATCTTAATCTTCTCATAACGTTTCAATGGCGGTATTTCCAGCCGAAAAAGGGCTTGATTTTCAGTGATTTACCTTATATCTTTCCATCTATTCAGAAAAAACTTTCTCATTGATCAGCATTAACGAAATTTATATGTCACACTCGTTGAGTATGAGTGTGAGTGAGCTTTTTGAATACAGGCGTAAGTTTTCTTCCAGTAAATGTTAAAGCAGATTTCTATTTTAAAGTAATTTACCATCTGTTACTTACGATCTCCTAATTTGGGGTTTTTGCGGCAAGACTCTATTTGACGTATTGGAACGAATGCATCTACGGGCACCAAGATAATATATATAATAATATAATAATAATATTTTAATTTATATTGCGCAAATTCCTTAAAAATGCTCAAATGCGCATTACAATAGTAAAAAATTAATAATATAGTACAATAAAATACAATAAGATAATACAAATTTACAATTTTTAAATACTAAACGAGATAAGTTTTAATCTTTCTCTTAAAACAGTCAACTGAATTTGCGTTCCTAATATCCAATGGGAGAGTATTCCATAGCTTAGGAGCAACAATGACAAAGGCACGGTCACGGAGTATAATTTTTGTTTTACCTTTGGGATAGCTAAGGAACTTAGAACATGGCCAGAAATGCAGGCCAATATGTCCGCCAAGCATGCGTGACTTAACGCTAATTTAGAAATTCAATATGGCGTCGCGCCTAAGAAATGAGGGGAGAATCATTAAAATTTGGTTTCTATTTAACCCACAATTCAGAAGTCATGTTTGTCCAAGTCCAAAACATCATAAATTTTATCGATCTATAAACACTCAAAATTTTAGGGATGAGATGCCCAAGTATGTTCCCGAGAAAAAATATTTTCACGATTGAAATTGTGTAAGAAAGTATATACTTCTGGCATATTAGGTACCTTACTGCTCCAATTTCTTTTGCTTGTTGGCAAGCATCGGTAAATGTCCACGTCCAAGATGGTTCGTAAAGACTCTTGCTTTGTGCACATCGCATTTTAGGAGCTTAAAAAGACGGCTAAATGCGTTCCCCAACGCGATAAAATTAATTAATTTCGTAGAGTGATTTTTGAACGCCAGTATTTTCTTTAGCTGTTGTTATGATACAACGGTGTTGCTATAATACAAGCGACACTGATCTAAATAATGCACTGAAAAAGTGAACCGCATGAGCCAACACACTTCACCGAGTTCCTAAGATTATACCGTGACTGTAGCTTATAGGAAACTAACGAAGTTAAATATGCTGCTGCTAATCCATTAAGAGCTTTATATGTAATCAGCATAATCTTAAAATCAATTCTGTATTGAACTGGAAGCCAATACAGTTCAATCAATAGTGGAGTAATATTACAAAAATTTACGTTCGTTATACCGCCGGGGTGGCGCAAAAAAAAAAATTGAACCGGTTTGATTGAGTATAACTTCAAAACTAAGAGGCCTAATACATTATAATTATGTTTTTTTAAATTTTGATATGTAGCATGAGGTTTTTTATGCAGTTTTGACCGAGATATGACAGTTTCAATTTATATATGCATCATCGAAAAGTGTAAAAATTAGTTAAAAATGGTATATTAAAGTGCGTTGACAAATCCTTGTATTTTCTCGCACGTATTCGTCAGTTTAAATAGAAACAATACGACAGATGGATAAGGTCTTTTTGTTTTCTGTGTTATGGCATGTTGGAAAGCGTTAAAACACAAATTGGCTATTTTGGTTTAGACTTTGTTCCAAATATTTCTTGTCCCATGGGCGATAAAATTCGTTCGGTAACGCACAAATATAACGCCGAGCTATATGTTTTTGAAATATGAGTTTCCATCGTGAGTTTCTAGTCAAACCATGATCGAATATATTTTGCAAAAGGAACTGGTTTAACTTTCGCGTTTCCGACTTGCAAAAAGTCAATATCAACTTTGGCTAATTGTTGTGGTGTTCCAATAATAAGAAATTTCGTTTTCCCGTCATTTAACCATAACTTATTATTCATCATCCATGATCGAATATCTCTAATACAATTCTGGATGTTCTCAATAGCAGTAGTTTCACTTGTTTTGTCATTAGGGCAAAACGAAATGTAGATCTGACTGACCATCATCTGCATAACAATGAACATTCGGAAGACGTTTTTTAAATATCTGTGACTTTATAGTTGTCTTAGTTCACATTTCTTTCACATGGTCTCAGCCTTTGTTTGCATATAATATAACTTTGTGGAACTACGCTGCAGCATATAGGATACCCGTTCATTTATTGATATGATTTCCCCCTTTTTTAGACTTGTATTTACCTACTGGACGTACATCAGTCACAGAATTCCCGCCTGGATTGCGGATATTCTTGCTAAGTTTGTTGGCCAGAAACCAAGGTAAGGATTGATATTCATCCCTGCGTATGAAGGCTACAGACGTACATGCATGTTTGCCATTTTCATAGCAAATATCTTCGGCATATGCTAACAGTACGAAAATTTTGATGCTACAGCTTTCCCTTTTATATTAGGACAAAATAAACGTACATCCATGCCAGATGGGGGCTAGATCTGTTTGTGAAGAACAGAAAGAATTGAATAACTTTACCTAGACGTTTTTCCGCAACTTCTAATTTTATAAAGCATAATTGCAAAGAAATCCAGAATGCTGCATGAAGGAATCGTATCCCCTTGATTTTGAACGATCTTTGAAAAAGATATCAATAAACAACATTGGTTGGTTTAGTAGTTCCAATTTATAATTATCGATGAGAGAATTTTTCAAGGCCGCCCAAATACACCAAAATATTTACTCACTTTATCTTAATTCCTACGATGCCGTAATTACTTCTCAAATAATATAAAAAATCCAATTTCTGCACGTTCTTGTTGACTATAATACCTGTGCTAATGATAAATGATGAACTTGACAACTTAGCACTTTGAAATTAAAAGGTTTGGATTCGATTTTTTTTAGGATGCAAAAGAACTACGTCAAGCTAGAAAAGGCGATGTCAACACTGGAATATTTTACAAAAAGAGGATGGACGGTAAATAAACACATTTTTCCCTGCATGTATTTTTACGATGCCAATGTTCTATAGTTATATACATTAACTCCAAACACAAATGATGGCACTGCATTCTTTTAAGATGGCGTATGTATAATTGTCGTTGTATAGTTCAAACCGCAAAATTATAATATGCTGTTGTCAGAGCTTCAAGGACGTGATATTCAGGTATATTTGCAGCTGAAGTGTTTTTCACACCATTTTAGAGCTTAGACTATCCTATAGGAGAATATGGTTTTGACCTTTATTTTTATAAAGAACACATTGTAAAGAACACTTAAAATCGAATAACTTCCTCTGCGGAATTTTGTTAACTCCCTTTTTTCTCAAGATATTGAACTTTCTATGATATCCAAATTACAGAACTGCATCACAACACTGCATAATGAGTTTTTATAAAATCAGTTGTCTTAATGAACAATTACTCAAAATATTTTGTAACAATTATATATATATATATATATATATATATATATATATATATATATATATATATATATACATATATATATATATATACAGTCTTGTATACAGTGCGTGTGTGAATTCATCATAATTGGTTAAAAGTTAAACCCTGTTTCAATTTTTGCAAGAAGAAATATTACTTTGAACTCCTTTTCCAGTGTGACGTCATTAGTTGTGTATTTGCAGATCTTAATGTACTTGGATATCAATGTTCAACATCTTGATGATGAAGAAAGTTCACAAAATTGTACAAAGGAAGATATATAAAAGAAACTTAAAAGTTTTCTTTACAGTGCAACTATAAAAATCAGGGGTGAAATTTCGTTGCATAGGGAATTTAAATACCACATGTTGATGTCAGACTATTTAAAGTATAAAATCCCTGCATGTATATGCTTTTGTGCATTTTTAATGACCAGGCTGTTATTTAAATTCAGTTTACCGTCCTACTTATACTGACGATGTTTTTCCCCTAGGAGTTTTCGTTTGATGTTCGTCGTATAGAGTGGCACATTTACTTTAGAGATTTTGTTATTGGTATTAAGAAGTATCTATTAAAAGAGAATCCTTCTGATCTTTCAGCGGCTAAAAAAAGATTCAAAAGGTTCGTTTTGCTGTATTGAATCGTCGTTTAATGTAATATATTTTACATATTTTTGTAATATATATTCAACAAAGAGTGAAATAACGGTAAATGACATGTTTTTGGGGTAGTGTAGTCCAGCGAACTCTAGCTGAACTGGAACGATAATGGACCGATTCTGCCACGTATGCAATTTTTACTGATACTTTTAGAGATGTATATTTGGCAATGAAAGTGAAATAATATTGTCGTTTCTTTGAAACTTTGCAGTACTGTGGCGAGTGGCGAAAATTCACATCAGGCAGTTTGTCAGTCATGTAGTCAGTCATAGTTTAAACTCCTAGGGGTGCCTTATTTTTCTTTTCATTGTGGTTTATTGTTCATATTCACTGATTGAAAAGTTATTTAGGAATTTTAGTTTTCTTACTTGAATATTCTTCAGGCTTTTTCCAAGCAAAAAGTATCGAAAAATATTCTGTAAATTTCTAAAACATTTGTTTCTCATGATGCGTGTGTTTAATAAAGGATTTCCCCCCGTAAAATTCGATTTTTCTTGAACTGCGCAAATGCGCATGTGCTGTAGGGCCTCATCAATATTCACGAGAATAATATATCAATATGCGACGAGAAAGGGGCGACGAAGTGTTGTTATCAAACATTTTAGACGCGAACGTCGAGTAAATCCGCGCGGAAAATGTGCGCATTCTATAAATTTGTGTTCTGCATTACGGGCATTTAATATAAGGACTGATACAAGAATATTGAGGTAGTGGTGTTGTCAAAAATAAAACGGTATTTCATGTTAGAGTAGCTATCTATGTTTTGGTTTACAATATATTATAAATAATTGTGCTGCGCTTTACAAGAATTCGACGCAGTGCCCTAAATTATTTTGCGGTGTACAGTATTATACTGTATACAGGCGCCAAGCAAAGCAGTTTTGTTTTGAAATGTACGAGAAATTGAAATGTCAATATTTACACATCGGTATTAAGTGCGTTTTATTTCGACGGTAAATAATACATTTGTTTAGAACGACTGTATTATGTATAGTTGGAGAACAAAGATTTCTTCGAAAAATTTACCCTGTTAGAGAAATCATAACGTATTAAATCAAAATGTGAAAAACAATTTGTGTGGAAATTTTACTCCATTCGTGATCCGGTGTTTAGTTGTAATTGAACTGGAACTATGCCTCGTCAACTGGTCTCCCTATAAATGATTTCGAGTTAAGGGTGAGACGAGGTGACTATTGATTTTCTGATTCAAATCACCTCGCCCGCGGCGACTAACTGTTAAACGTGATTATGCATGATGTTAGGTTTTTAAGATGGCGGCCAAATAATCCTATATGAGATAACTGCGACTTATAATTTAAGACTAGTGCATCTCGACGAAAACATACGCCAGTATGGTTTCATAAAGACCTATTTCAATACCTTAAAACCGTCTTAAATCGCCCGTAAATCGTCAGACGACTACGCTATTTCCTTGAGTTACCACCCATATTTGCCAAAATTGTGCTGATTGTTCATTTCTTGTTTGTTTAGTTTTTTTTACTACTGTATATTTCTCTCATTTTCACATCGTTTCTGTTTAACTTCTACAGATTACGTAACGTGAGGTGGACAACGTACTTTGTGTCAGGGGTCCTTATGTGGACAGTCATGGTAAAAAAAATACCCTCAATTCGCTCCCTCTGGTATCTATGCCTGGATTATGCGTTCAAGATGTTCACGAGGCTTGAAAAACTTGGTTTCAGATTATAGATGAATTATGGATTAGAATTTAGCGACAATAGATGTCGGATACCTGGATTATGCGTTCAATATTATATTTGAGATTATAGATGAATTATAGATTAGAATTAAGCGACAAATAGATGTTGAAAAGTATTTCATACTTTACTATAGATGACTTGACTTATCTCAATATTCGTATAGAAAATTTTGTACCTACCATTATTAAGCATTAAACTAGTAGACACTGTGTTTTTTTGTTTAAATGACCGCCAACATTTGAGCTTGCTCACCTAGGGTCGAGAGCAAAGCGTGCGCATGCGCGTAGTGAAACCCACCCACGAAAAATTAGTGATATTCTATTTTGAGTGACTAACCTTAGATGGATACATCGTGCCACACCCATGCCATTTTCAGCACGTCTCGTCGTTTCATAGAGATTTTTTCGTGATCCCTTTGAATCACCTAAATTTTGAATCCCGGGTATAATTATACATAATTAGCGAGTAGCAAGCCAAACTTTAGGAATGCATGTTTAATCAGGGGCGGATTAGCGTTATTAGTGTCACCGGGCGATAGGTTAAAAGGGCCCACCTGATGACGCCATTGAAGGAAGACAATCTAAGGTTACTTCATAAGTTTGACCATATTGAAGATAAATTTATAAAGCCTGATTTATAAAGATAAATTTATCTAGATTTATATAATCGAGCGCGAAATATTGATAAGAGATCAAAGAAAGCAAAAATCACATTTAAAACCCAAAATTTCAACTTTCGGTATATAAAAATATATAGATTTTCTTAATCGTTGTAGTACAGTAAGCCTCGTTTTCGTGCAATATGAAGGCGGTCACTAAGTTTCGCAATTTAGTTATTATATCTTATACCTATACCTTACCTACCTAACTATACCCTACTTATTTACATAATGTGCGTTTATAAATGCTAGGCTAAAGCTGCTTTTAGTAAATGATGTAATCGATATGATGACATTGACGGTCTATATTGATCTGTAACATGAGTAAGCAAAATGTTCGTAATCTTTGCCATTGTTGGTATGCACTGGGCTTGCGTAACACGCGTAAAAGTGCAACTTACGATACAATACTAGTTTAACTCTGTCCCGTACTTGCAAGACATAATTTGGTTTTCCTGTATTCCGATCGAAATCTTGACTTTATTTTGTTGCTATTATTTCCAATAGGCTCGATCGCAAACAGGTTTTGAGACATTGCAAACTTATAACAAGCATTCATAGCCAGGGCCCGCCTATACAGGGTGTATCAAAAAAAATGTCCCAAATGTAAAAATTCCGTTTTTCAGGACATTTTGCAGAATTTGGCAAATTTTTGTGTTCCTAGAGATAGTTAAGACTTATCTGGTATACCTAGGTCAAGTTTGGTTTTTCATTAACAAAATTATGTTACCGGGGAGTTGTTCCTTTCCACTGATATTGAGAGGGCTTGCGCGCGAAATTGTGAAGCTGAAATTGAGATATTATTTAGCTGTCCAAAAGTAGGAAAGCTTTTTAATAAACTGTCAAAGTTTCAGGAAAAATAATGCATACTGGGAGCAACGCGCGACGCCTAAAGGTGACAAATATTTCATTGCGCGCAGTGGATTAAATGCATCGTTGACTTTAGCGTGACCGATCTCATACAAGGTGGGCAAATGAATAAATTAAAGCGAGAAACTCAACACAAAAACAAAGCGATTTATTCGTGATGTTAATCAACCATTTGTCTGTCCATTCGCCTAGATTTGCTGGTGGTAGCGTATAGGCGATTTGCAAGAAAGAATTTCGAACGAAATGGATAATTTGAGGCAGGACAGACAAATGTGGTTCGCCGTTCAGTGTTTACCATGCTCAGACGAGCCGCAGTTTGCTTAGAAAGAAATGGTGGAAGTGTTGAGGATTAACATCAAGAATAAAAATCTTGTTATTAAATCGTTTCGTCTTAATTTATTCATTTGCCCAGCCTTGCATGAGATTGGTCACGCTAAAATCAACGATGCATTTAATTCACTACGCGCAATGAAATATTTGTCACTTTTAGAGGTCGCGCGTTGCTCCCAGTTTGCATTATTTTTCCTGAAACTTTGACAGTTTATTAAAAAGCTTTCCTACTTTTAGACAGCTAAATAATATCTCAATTTCAGCTTCACATTTTCCCGCGCAAGCCCTCTCAATATCAGTGGAAAGGAACCACCCCCCCGGTAACATAATTTTGTTAATGAAAAACCAAACTTGGCCTAGGTATACCAGATAAGTCTTAACTATCTCTAGGAACACAAAAAATTGCCAAATTCTGCAAAATATCCTGAAAAACGGGGACATTTTTTTTTATACACCCTGTATAGCCGTGCGAAGAATATAATCGATTTGATACCGTACTATTTATTTATCAGCCCCGATTCTTGATCTTCAAACTATTTAACATTGCTACCAGGAGACTTCCAAATCCCTCTGGGTGCCAAACATTTGTTTACAAATATCTGTAACTCTTCAAACGAACCAGACCATCGATATATATCTCCTTCGACCGATAAATATTTTGCAAAACTCGTAACTTGATAGTTTGCCGTTGCGTCAGACCGTATAATAGTGTGCCATTGCTTCAATACTGTCAATACCTCAAGTCCATTAGGGAAGAGTATTATCATCTATTTAAGTCCCTGCTTCACAATTCTCTGTACTTAAGACGTCTGACCGCCGCGCAGCCTCACATCAAAGTTGGACCTTTTAATACTGTTTTTGCATTGCTGTACAGGGTGTTTCAAAATAAAACAACGAAATAGCGCTACTTTAATGGGCCGTAATATATTAAATATTTAGTAAAATGATATATATATATATATATATACAGATATACACACACATTATATATATATATATATATTATATAATATTATATATATTATATATATATATATAATATTATATATATATATATATAATATATATTATATATATATATATATATATATATACATACACATACACGTCACACTGGAAAAGGAGTTCAAAGTAATATTTCATCTTGAAAAAAATTGAAACAGAGTTTAACTTTTAACCAATTATGATGAATTCACACACGCACTTTTATACAAGACTTTATATATATATATATATATATATATATATAATATATATATATATAATATATTATATATATAATATATATATAATATATTATATATAATATATATATAATATAATATATATATGGGAATCGAACCCGCGACCTTCGCATTTCTAGAACGATGCTCTACCGTCTGAGCTACAAGGCCAAGTTGGGAACGACTGTGATTTTAAGTAAAACAGTATAAGAAGAAAATAAGTTAAGTATAACAACTTAAGTAAAATCACAGTTGCTCCTAACTTGGCCTTGTAGCTCAGACAGTAGAGCATCGTTCTAGAAATGCAAAGGTCGCGGGTTCGATTCCCACCGCGGTCAAGTAGAATTTTCTGCTTGCCCGGTTGGTTATACTTGTGCAGAAAAACAAATACACCTTATATATACATATAATTATATATAATAATATATATATATATATAATATATATATATATATATATATAAGTATAATCTTGTTGTTCGAAAAGACAAAAGAGTGCTCAATACTATAAGATGTTATAATAGAGCGAATTAAGTAGATGAAATTAAGTCTTAAAATGAATTTATTTAGCTATCGCTACTCTGAGTTTCACGATTATCTCGATCTTCAGGCGATTAAATTCAGTTCGTTGGATTGCGTGATTAACGGTCGGCTCACGCGCACTGTTAATGTTTGCGCGTGCGTTTGAAATTTCCAGCATAAAATTTATCGCGATGGCGGCATTTAGCATATAGATCTAACGCTAACCGAGCTTTGTGCAACACAAATTAACCGAGGTTTAAAATTTAACCCTGGGTTAAGCATTTTTAACCCTGGGTTAGCGTTAACCTGCTTTTGAACAACCGGCCCCAGAACTATATGCTAAATGCCGCCATCGCGATAAATTTTATGCTGGAAATTTCAAACGCACGCGCAAACATTAACAGTGCGCGTGAGCCGACCGTTAATCACGCAATCCAACGAACTGAATTTAATCGCCTGAAGATCGAGATAATCGTGAAACTCAGAGTAGCGATAGCTAAATAAATTCATTTTAAGACTTAATTTCATCTATATATATATATATATATATATATATATATATATACATCTTAATTATAGTTAACTAGAAATACATGCATGCAGCAACCCCTCGCCATTTTAAACGAAGCAAAATATTTCGTGCGCTACCCAGACCTAACTTTCTACGCTAATATTATGAAATAACTCGTGCAAATTTTTCGGAAACAAAGACAGTCGTAAAGGTAAACAGAAATCACCTGTTTGCCTGCTGCAGTACGTTGCGGTTTAAGTGAGTGTTAAACTTTTCTATAACTAAACCTTCAAAACATCAAAACAGCACAAATAATTATAATAACCATACAAGCACTAAACGTCGAATGTTGTTTTTCGATTATTTATTTTATTCAATGATTTTAGCGACTATATTTATTTATTTATTTTATTTATTAACTTTGCCAGGTACAAACAAATTAACATAAGTAAACGACACAAACAACTGGCAGGGAAACGCAACAGCTTACACCAATTACTGCGCTCCCTAATTTTAAACAGATACACCGGTATGTACAAAAAAAACAACTACTCAACTGAAACTAAAAACAACATGTTATCGGTCTAGTCAGATCTCGTGCTTGATTGCATTTTAAGCAAATTGATTTCCACGTTCGTGGATCGTCAATATTATAACTTTTCTCTAATGCTACTTTGTAATAATCTAATAACTCCATTTTAAATTTCTTTAGAGTCATCGTTGAACTAATTTTTAAGACTCTTGAGAGAGCGTTCCAGACTCGACTTGATCTTATTACGAAGGATTTTTGGTAAGTAGATGTTTTACATTTTGTAGTCTGAAATTTTAGGCAGTTATGATTTGAAGAACGGGTGCGTCTGCTTGAAACTGAAGGCTGAGGTAGTATGTCACTGCTTAAGTTTATAATTTCATGGTGTGATTTAAATAGGAACAATATGTCCAGGTACTCGTGCCAGTAACAAAGAGGCAATAGATTTAATGTTGACAGACGATAGTCAGAATTGATTTCACAGAAGAAGGGGAGGTCTAATATGTACTTCGTCGCCCGTCTTTGAATGCATATAAGCTGCTAAGTGATATTTGTTTTATCA